CCACCATTTGATCCAGTAGGATAACCTTGACTGCCAGGTTCCCATTAGCGTCCTCCTCATTATAATCCATGCCAAGAACCCCTTCCACATTTCCACTAACTTTGGATTGGTGCGCCAATTGAGCATACTTTCCAGAATTAAGCACACCCTTTCCATTTAACTCATCAATATTTTCTTTGACAAAAGCGATTTCCTCCATCGGGGCAATTAAATTGTTACTTGTAATAGGGTTAGTAAAAAAAGAAATAATATCATCTCTATTTTCCAAGCAAACCGAGTTTCCAAAATAGTCAATATTATGAATGTTCTTGGGTTCTTGAAAGAATTTGACCGTTGGATCATCCTCATGCATACCCGATTCAAAGAAAATTCAAGAATTCTTACACATAGCCGTGGCTGGTGTGATACTATCCTTCTCTCCCTTTGACCCATTACATTCATTGAATGAAACAGAAGGACAAGGACTGGATTATGGGAGGTTAGAACCAAAAAAGAACATACCTTCTTGACGAGTAGGACCAAATTCCATTGGCAGGTTAGCATCAGGACCACAGTTTCCAGAACCACAGATTCCAGAATCATTTTTCCCTGGGGAGGGGAGAGGTTGGTACCTGCAAACAACCGTGACTTCTTGACATTTAGGCGCAGATCCAATCAAGTGAAAAGCTTCGAGAACACAGTTATCATCATGTAGAACCGAAACAGTTTTCATCGATATGGATCGTAACGGTAGGAAGCCATTTTCTGCATCCACACAATCTTTTCTTCTGCAGAACTCCATGTCCCTAGATTGAACACAGACTCACCCGGAACCTTAGGGAGAGTGGATTTAGACACCTTTTCTTTCTCCTCCACATAATGAATGCTTTTGATCACAGAGGGCAAGCTCCTATGCTTTATCAACATCTCTTTTTTATGAGATCTTGAAATAACTTCTGCTTGATCCATTTGAATTACCTTAAACGAGTGCCCGTATTTCATGACCTTGAAATGATCTTTGGAGCACGAGTCTTCGGTCGATTGGATGTAAGTTGATTTTTCTTGTAATCCTATGGGAAGATTCCTCCAAGGGGGAGGAATTCCGGCCATAGCAAGCAAGTACGGGCAAAAAAACTCAAGGGAGGCTAGAGAGAAAAACTCCAGAGAGAGAAAGTAGTATTTTCATATATGAATCAGTTAATTAGTTCATAACTTTTACAAATAGGCTACGAATGGATTCATATGTGAAACTATGTGATACACATGTGAAATATATGTTCATATGTAAATCAGTTAATTAGTTCATATGTGAATCACAAAGGTTAATATGTTAATCGGTTAAATAGTTCATATGTGAATTACACAAGTTCATATGTGAACATATAGTTTATATGTGAATCATCTAGGTTCATATATGAACATGTTTGTCATATATTTATAAAAGTTACAAAACTACCATATCTACTTTTTGCATTACCGCAATTTTTGACTTGTCAAAGCCGTAATTATTGACCAGTCAAATCCGATCTGACCGTGTGAAGGATTAGGATCATTTCTTTACTTCTCAAATATTTACCGGTTTTCAAAATAACATTTGGCTATATACATAGATGTATGCAATTTTAATTGGTCCCTAATGTTTTTTTAAATAAGTAAAAGGACCAAAATGCCTTCACGTGCAAGTCATATTCGGTTTTTAACAAAAGGAAATCTCACAAACCACATTATTTGTACAAACGTGCAAACCTCATTCAACCAATCATAATTTTTCATTTTTTTGTAATTATGAGAGGTTGATTAGTCATTTATATTGTGTATGGTGTTAATTATAGATATTATTATTTTCATTATATTAATTTCAGAAAAATACATGAAATATTTTCATTAACACATATGACCAACAATATATGAAACAATTTAATGAACAATTTCATTAAATTAAATAATGAAATCAACGGATGAGGGTGATTTGCATTTGATCACTCCCATATGTGTGTGTGTATATATATATATATATATATATATATATATATATAGGGTTGGGTTCATGTGAGATCAACCTATTTTCATGAGAATAATGAGACCAAATTTTTACGCTTGAAACTTCACAGCAAAACGTTGTGAAGGTAAAAAAAAATCTGAACCATCACATCAAAAAACACAATGAAGGTTACATTCACAATGTTTTACCATGAAGTTCAAATGCAGAAACGTGGTTCCACGGATCTGACAAAAAAAGCTTGGTCTCATACTATCCTAAGTGTGTGTGTGTGTGTATATATATATATATATATATTGATTTATGATATTTTAATTTTTTAGTTGATTTTTATAGACTAGGATTTTTTTTGTAAGTGAAGAGAGTTATCCAAAATAAGACAACTTCATTAGTTGACAGAACAACATATTATATCCTCTTTTCTTATAAACACATCTTTATTTCAATTTTTAATCTTCTCATTAACGTGGTATAACTCAAACTCAACCATAATTCCATATCTGAGAATACTCAATTCTAATGGTGTCACCTCAACCACAATTCACCATATCAATTTTGTAGAGAAATCCAATTAAATCTCACAATAGTAATTCCAAGTATTTTCCAAATACCACGTTTTATTGAAAGTTAAAACTAGTATGGATAAGACCACAAGTTCTCTCCAATGACTTTTTATTCAATGATAAAACTAGTTTATTTAAACATATAAGACACACCCGTAAACTATAAGGAGTTCTCATCACAACTCAAGTAACTTGAGAAGGCGACGTTGATGACTTGGGTGGCAACGAAGGTGGCGGTGGCTGTGATAGTAACAATCGAATTGGAGTTGGGAACAATGGGAAACATGGCCTTAGGTCTGACACCAAGCACGTCGTAGCGGTCGTCACTAGAGATCCGGTCAGGACCATCACCAAAACAGCTACTGCACATACTATCATGTATCTTGCTTGCCTCATTTTTCCTTAACTCGGAAGAATGTAAAGAAAGAAATTAATGGTTCCAGAGGAGTTGCGTTTTCTATAGGAATATTTTGCATGAATTTATAGAAAGAGACGCACCCCTCAATGGACGCGTATCGCCATCATGAGGTGGCTATATACATTTACTTCAAAAATTAGATCCCTTGAAAATAAATATTAAGACCCTAAAACTGAAAGGTTATTTGAATGATTATCTATAAATATATGGAAAAACCAATCAATAAATAAGTTAAATTTGGTAGAAAGTTTTTGATAAATTAGATGATAACTATATGGAAATGACTTAGAAAACATGTCGTAGAATTAGTGAACTTTTAAATTACATAATATAATTAAAACAAATCACAAATATATTTCCTCATGTTATATAGGGTTTCTCTGTTATTTAGGTCTAATGCACATTCACTACTAAATGAAATACTTTCAGTCTACTGACTTTTCCCTAGAAAACCGGTCGCAAAAGGATGATTCGTTACGAAAAGTCACAAAAGTTAGTGGGTAATTCAAATTACTGATAGATTATGCATGTATTTTCTGGATGATCCGTTGGTATTTTCTATCAGAGTTGCAATCGTGAGAGAAGAAGAACCACCATGCCATGAATTTGAAATATTATGGACTAAAACAAGTCCATCATAATATGCGTATGTCTTTCCTTGTAAAAAACTACATCCGACGAACAGAAAAGTATTATTTTGGTATGGCCTCAAACACTAGATACAACCTTCATATGTTAATTACGGTTTCCAGTTGGATTGTAAAGCAATATGCCTTTTAACATGTGGATTTAAATTTTAGAAGTGAAATAAGTCATACAACACAAATACCAACGAGTTATACATAAAATTTTCTTAGCGTTTTAATTGTAACACACAAGTTTTCTATTTGGCATTTAATTACAAATTAATTGCATCATAATTTAAGAAGACAATAGCTCCATTCATCATAACTCAATTTAAGACGACCATTTAATTAGAACGCAATTGGTTTTGCTCATACGAAATTCATTGAAGTAACGTTTTAGTTTTACACTTCTAATAATTTATTTTTGAGGGATTTCATTTTTGAAGTAAACGTATAAAGCCGCTTCATGATGGCGATATGTTCCCATGAGGGTTGTGTCTCTTTTTATAACTTCATTCAAGAGAAGCCTACTGAAAACACAACTCCTCTAGAAACGTTAATTTCTCTCCCTGAATTCTTAGAGTTAGGGACAAATGATGCAAGGAACATACATCGCATAGCTGTTTTGGTGATGGTCTTGGTCGGATCCTAGGTGACGACTGCCACGACATGCTTGGTGTCAGAGCTAGATCCATGTTTTACATCGTTCCAAATTCCAATCCCGTTGTTACTATCACGACCACTGCGACTACCCAAATCACCACCGCCACCTTCATTGCCACCCACGTCATTGCCACCACTTTCGTCGCCACCCATGTCATTGCCGCCACCATCGGTCACTACTAGAAAACTGGGCATTTACGGCGGACATATTCCGCCGGAAA